ATAAACTGTGACATAATTATACAAAATGACATAAAATAACCACAAATAATAGCGCTACCCTTAAGTAGAATAAATACAAGAATCATTGAATCCACCACCAAATAAGTGCATAAATGTGATAAGACATATATCAAATTAAGGGTCCTCATAGAGTCCATTCAATAAAGTCCATGCGCAAAAAATTGCTTATGAGCCTCAACAAATGAAGCCTTCCTTCACTGAAAATTCAGTGTGTTAACACCCCATCAAATTGAACACTCACCAAAAGCTGGTGATAAACCAGCATATCAATGTAAACCAGCACTCCTCTGCTCAGCTCCACCTTATGGATATCCAAACAGCTCAAAGCTGGTGATAGACCAGCGTATCTCTATTAGCCCAGCACTCCACAACTCAGCTCCAGCATAGAAATATCCACACAGCTCCATATAGTACATGCAGATATAAAGGATACTCGCCATAGTGCAATAACGTATAACAAAATTTATTCAAATACTCCCCCCATAAAATACACTCACATTGAGTACAAAAATATCCAGCATTTGGACTCCCTAAGATGAAGCCGGTGAAGGAAGACTTCATAGCTTCATTTGTTGAGGTTCATAAGCAATTTTTTGCGCATGGACTTTATTGAATGGACTCTATGAGGACCCTTAATTTGATATATGTCTTATCACATTTATGCACTTATTTGGTGGTGGATTTAATGATTTATGTATTTATTTATTCTACTTAAGGGTAACGCTATTTGTGGTTATTTTATATGTCATTTTGTATAATTATATCACAGTTTATATTAAGTATGAAAATTATTTTTTAAAACTAAAATAACGAAGCTTTAGTATCACTTTAGGTCGATTTTTTCACACACAATATATAAACAAAATTATTTCAGGCTTTTCTTTAATAAGAAATTGTGTATGTTTGAAGAAAAAGCTTACACTGCATTAAGTGAAGGCATGTTTTCAGAAGGCATTTAACAGCCAGTGAGGAGGCAATGGGGTTTATTTACTAAAGCTGGAGAGTCCAAAATCAGACTCCCTTCTGCATAGAAACCAATCAGCTTCCAGGTTTCATTGCCAAAGCTTCATTGAACAAGCTGAGGTTAGAAGCTGATTGGTTTCTATGCAGAAGGGAGTCTGATTTTGGACTCTCCAGCTTTAGTAAATAAACCCCAATATGTCTGTGTTAAAGGAGAAGTACAGCCAAAGCTCTTTGCACTCCTATGCACACCGCTGTTGGCTGACACTCAGCAGGTCCAGGCTGGGGAAGGATTCCAACTTAAAAGCCGGGATCCGCCCGAGTCCGGGAGTGGCCGAGGTGACTGACAGTCACCACTCTCAGCTCATAGCAGCTGTGAGAACTCAGCAATCAGTGGTCATGTGATCGCTGAGTTCTTACCCTTCGAGACGGCGGAGGACAAATGCATCATTGGACTGATGTTGCATCCACCTAGGTAAGTATAACCCCTATGGCCATGGCTCACTTGAATGGGTTGCGTTTAATAGGTGATAGAATTCCTGCCGCAAAGCAAACAGCGTGTCTGTGCTAATATACAACTTCCTCTGGCTGCTGTTGAGCGCAGAACTAAACTGTATCTGAGCACCACAAACTGAAAACACCATTTAATTCATTTTAAATATTCAAAGCAAACTCATTCATGTCTCCAAACTTTATTTTGTTGAGAAATCACTTTGAAAAACCAACTCCTAGCATTTCTAGCTGTGGCCATCTTGAGTAAAGGCAGATGACTCATATAGCATTTTTTGGCATCCATCTGTCCTTAGCTAAAAATATAAAAATAGGTAATGTTAACAGAGTTTACATCCACTTTAATGAGGGGCGGTAAAAGCACAACTCAGCCCCCCCCCCCCCCCCAAGTGGAAACGTAGCCATAAGTGAGAAGATCCAGCAATAGGCCTAATTAGCGAATATCAGCAATAGAGAGGCATCATGCTACAAATCAGCAGAATAATAAGCCTCTGCGACTTTATTGGAATCTTGGAGCATACAGTAAATGGTAGCCCTCTGGCTTTACACCAATTTAGAAAATATTGTTTTCTGATTGGCCAAAATTAACTAACCATTCATTCAGATTTTATTTCATAATAGTCAGTGAATATAGTGAGTTAATCAGTAAAATATTTACTCAGATTGGCTCATATGGGTTTCTGCACAGCATAATCCACTTTACCTTAATAAATGGGTCAATTTGAGCGTAAAGTAAAGAAAATAAAATTACCATTCCTGTCCCTCCAAATTGACACTTTACAACCAGAATGTACAATATACTAAGCCTTTTTTTTTTTTCCTCAAAGCCCTCAGTCAACCAAACGGCCAGTAAAGCAAGGTATACAGTAGTAGAATTTCCTTCCCACGATTTTTTGTTGTAAGAACGTTTGTTTATTTTTCTATTCATTAGTGGGGTCAAATCTACATTCGTTTTTAACCGCAGTGACAAGAAAATATGAAGGAGCAGCATGGAAAATTGTTCTTGAATATACGAATTTCTAATAAGGTATGTGATTTTTGTTCTGAAAGTCCATTCATTGCAAAATTGAATATTAAAAGCAAACAAAATCTTAAACTATTTTAGAACGACATTTGAATGAATTTTCATTTGAAATTCTGCTAGCGTATAATCAGCTTTGGAGAATACTCTAGTATCTACCAAAAATGTGGAATAAAGAGACGCTGTCACTACAGTGTCAAAACTAAAATGAAGCCAACCTGTAAAACAAGATACCACATACCTACTTTCCAGTGACCTATGTGTGTACAATCTGCTGTGGTGCCGATTTCCAGCCACTGCTGGTATCCGACACTTCTGGGTGTGTTAAATACCTGCTCCCCTGCCACACACTGTGGATTCTTCCATCAGCTCATACATCTTATCTTGTAACAATAAAGCCACAGTGTGTGGCGGGAGAAGCAGGTTGTTCCCACCCACATCAGAAGTGTCAGGTACCTGCAGCAGCATGGGATCAGAAGTAGGAGCAGAGTTCTAACACAGACAGCTGGAAAGGCAAGTATTTCACATTTTGTTTTACAGGTAGCGTTTATTTTAGTTTCAAATTTATGGTGACTTAAGCACTTTCAACATTATCCGATAGAGTACTAATTGGGTTCAAGGATATACTGAGGGCAGTAAATGATAGCAACCAGATTTTGGTTTACAAGAAGCCCGCTGCTAAGGATTACTGCACTTTGTGCATAATCATGGCTCTGCACTGCCTAGGTGCTTTTCTTGTCCGCATTATATGACTTCTGGGAAGAATGTCACCGAGTACCATTCTAAATTACCCTTTTAAACAGCAAGAAAGCATTTACTTCTGTAAAATAACCCTAAGCAACCCTATTCACTCCTGGGCAAGTTATCTTCCTGCTGCTTCTCTCCTATGGTGTGTCTCCCTCCTATAGCCTTGAGAACTCCCACCATCGGGAGTCAGGATTAAAGGAAGACAGTGATAGCTCTGCCCAACAGTCCCACCTTCTGCAAAATTGTAATTAATGCACTCACATTAGTACATTAAGGCTGCATTTACAACTTTTTTTTCTATATTTAAGGATCTGAACACTGCTGCATTGTTTTCAACGGAGGCATTTACACAGGTGCATAAATATAAGCTACATTCAGATCCTTAACAGAAAATCCAACAAATGTGTCTGAGGACATGCGTATGCATTCTGATATTGAATAAAACAGGACAATTATACACATAAAAAAAAAAATACGGCCGTGTGAATGTAGCCTTAACATTTATCAAATTTTTGCATTGAAGCCTGCAAAGATTTACAATTGCTATCAGGTGGAATGCACAGACTTTTGCACTGTTCACACCCCAGCCACATACGGAGGTACAGACCTACCGTTATGCGGCTGGAGGAAGTAAACAATGCACTACAAGTATGGCGACACCACCATACACTTGTGCTTCCCTGAGATCCTACCTCTCTGCTGCTTTGGCAGATGGGAGCCGCACACAGCCCTGCCAAATCTAAAATCAGAAGGATAAAGGGAGTAGCATCCCACTATTCAAGTAAATGGGTGGGGGGAGATGGAGAAAGTGAACATAGACACAAAGATGAGCTAAACCTTTAAGGCAGCACAATAATTTAAATGAATTGCCAATGGACCATAAAACGCACCTACACCATTTTTCCCTGACACGAGGCACCACAAGGCATTACTGTACATTGTGGTGCACTTCAATATAGATACATTCCTTTAGTGTGCTTGGGTGCCATTTAAAATGAATAGCACCGTGGCATTGACAATGTAATGCACAGGTATAAACCAGCCTTCGTGTCCATGAATATTAGTATGTAATCTAATTTGGAGAAAGTAAATGTCTACAGACAACTACTGTATGTATATTCTGAAGTGAGAATTTATATTCTGAGGTGAAAATTTTACCTCATCTATAAATCTGTAATTTAGAAAAAAAAGTTTTACAAAGACTACACAAATGCATAAAATAGCATTTCTTCTTTTATTTATAGTTTTAAGTGCTACTAAGTAAATATGGACTTTTGAATTCAGTCATCTAGAAAAATAAAACAATTGATAAGCACAGAAAACCAGAGAACTGTATTTATAGGAAACATGACCCGGGCAGGTAGTACATGGTATATTTACATGTGAAAATTGTTAATAATGATAAATGAATAACCTCAGAATTATACAAAAATCGCCAAAAACGCATAAAGATCAACTTTGCACCTTCAAAGCAAAGGCACCCACCAGATAATGCAATCTTCAACAAGTGGTGTTTGAACCAATAATGTGTTGGTTTATAGACTTTGTTTAAGCAGCAAACACAAACACTTTATTGCTGTTGTCTTTAACAGGTTACAATTGAATGCCACACGTCAATTTAATGTCCGCAATACAACAACAGTACTTCTAACAGTACTCAGTGGGCTTTGTATGTATTAGACTGCTGGGCAACATCAGGCTGTAAAGTAGTTGAGACAAGTTTAAAGAGCACTGACAAGATCTATACTTGGGCAAGCCTTTCCACTGTCCTCCTGTACTCTGTCACCAGCTCCTGATAGCTCTCCTCAAGCTGTTCATGCTGTGTTTTCAGATCTATTTGGTTCATCTGGTTTGTAAGCTCCTCTGGTTTTAAGCATCTCCTCATCTTAGCCATTTCTCTCTGATTTTTCTGTTAAAACACAAACAGAATATGAAGAACCACAAAATATAAAACAGATCTTGGAATCTGGTGCACCTGATTTAGATGTGGATGATGATATATTTGCAACACAAGAAGAACAGTAATAAAAGGCTCTCCACTCCAATTTCCTCCTCCCCAACTGCCAGGGATAAACCAAGCTGTCCTCACTCACAGATCCTATGCAGAAATAATACAGGCACCTTACACTGGAGGGATTACTATAATCCATGTTGTTTGTATACAACATCCACAGGTACTGTAATGACCTTAAGACAGCCCCCCTCTAAAGTGCTTCACCCAATGAGACTTAGGCCAGCCACAGTTTGAATCTCGGCTGGTGATTCGAACTATGTGTGTGCAGGCTGAATGTAAAAAGTCGATCGATCAACTTGGGTACAACCAGCCTGTCGGATTCACTCGTGATTATCACTAGTGTCTGCTATAGCCACTAGCAATAATCACTGTCTTCTTCCGGCGGGGGCCGCTTCCCCCACCTGGAGAAGACAACAGCTCGGCAGGAGTATGTCAGTACTGTCTGTGCTAATGGGGGAATTCTGCAAAGTTCTTTCCTGCAACCCAAGGCTGCTGAAAGAAATTTGCACCCTGAATGGCCTGCCTTAGTCATAGAGGTGGGTTCCTTTATACACATTACAACAAACAGACTCAAAGGCACCTGATCACATCTCAAAGCACAGTTCATCTCCTAAAGAAGTACTGAATGTGTTGGCAGTATTAACGGAGGGTCTTCGTGGTATACTGCCCATGCAAAGCAAATATATAAAAACCTAACTTTTTATTAAGCCGCAATGTAAAGCCATTAATGCCTGAAAGGCTATTTGCATCATATACTAAAGTTCTTTTTTTACCATGTTATAGTTTGGAATAAAACAAGATAAGAGGATCACTCTTATCACCATTCACCCTTTGTATATGGTGATAAGGACACAAGAGAAATGTTAACACCAGGTGTCCAGTTTGTGGAAAGATGAGCCCCTACCTAGGTAATAATGTTATCTCCAAGTATGTCTACCTCCAGGACAAGTGTTGGTACCTGGCTGAGTATTACAGGGATGTACAGGTGTGGACATTTTCAATACTCAAGTTGTGTTTACCTTGGGCGAGGACTACCAATACAATGGCTGTGGATGTGCTATACAACAAACATAGACCTTTGAAGATCCCTCTGCTGTGTTTTCTGCACAGGAAGAGTAGTAGTTCACACAATTCACCTAACTAAAGCTGGCCACAGATGGGTAGAATTTCAAACGAAAATTCCTAGAAAAAAATTTCTAAGAAAGTTTGTTCGTTTTTCTAATCATTAGTGGGTCAAATCGATGTTCGTTTTTGATCATAGCAAGCAGAAAACCTGAAGGCACAGAATGGAAAATTTTTCACAAACCAATGTCTAAAGGTGTATGGAGTTTTTGCTCATTAAAGTTCATTGGAACCAAAATGAAAAGCAAAAAATCTTTCAACCAACTGTTGAATATTTTGAGAATTTTCATACAAATGTTCCTGAGACTTTTCCTAAGAACTTTCGTTCAAAATTATATCCATGACCAGCTTAAGCTACATTAATTTTTTTTTTTTGGCACTGATAAAAAGGTTACAGTTGGTTTGAATATATTTTTAACATATAAAATGGCTTACGTAACATTTTTTTTACGAATGTGGAAATACACATCTAAAACAGGTTGTTTTAATTGTAATTTAATTTTTTTAACTTAACAAATATGGTTCCTTTAACGGTGAAGGGGTGAAGGGTGTATAATCAACTATGGACTGGAAACAACAGGAGTCCAAACAATACCACTTGGCAGTAAATAAGAATAGCATGGAACATATGCTCTGTGATACCAGCTATTGATTTTATTACCATGTATCTCCAGAAGTATGTATGGATAGAAGGTGTACATGTAATCTCCTAGATTGTAAGCTCGAACAAGCAGGGCCCTTTGTTTCCTCTTGTACCAAATTGTATTGTAACTGTTATGTCTACCTTCATTTTGTAAAGCGCTGCGCAAACTGTTGGCACTATCTCAATCCTGTATAATAATCTACAATGGTAATACTCCTGGAGAAAAAGTTCACATTAGGCTTCCATCAAAGCCGCTATGATAGAGATTGCAAAACAGCCATACCTTATATGGGCCAACAAGTCTCTTTTTGATGTCTAGTCTGTAAGCCCTGGATTTTTCAGGATCACTCATGTCTGTTGCACGAAGCCGAAGAATTTCATAAACACGTCTTGCATGTTGCTAGTGATTAAAATAGGCAAATAATACAACAGAACAATGTTACAATCTTGTCTATTCACAACAGCATTAAAAAAGGACCTTAGTAAAAAAAAACAAAATAGAGCTTCAGAATCTATACAGAAAACTGAAAGAGTTTTAGGGATTCTGGAAATAACTTACTAGTAATGTTTTTCTCAGTGTCTGGAACTATAAATTTACTTCTAGTGGTACTTGTCACTGTAGGCAACACGCAGCAAAGCTTTGTGTTTATGTGAATGAAAGGCTTGAGAAAGAATATAATTGCACAAATCCTAAAGCTATGGATTGCACCCAACCTTCCTTCCCTAAAGAAACTTAGTTCACACACTGATGTTGCTTTACTACAGGAGTAGAAGCTGTTCACTGAAAAGTATGGAAGCTTTGCAAAGTGAATGACCGTACATAAAAGTAATAATTTTACTTGTGTACAGTCTAAATACCCATTCTGAATACATCATGTACAAGGGAAAATTTGTTATATTCTATGATTTTCCTAGCACATGACTGGCTGAGTTAAGCGATTATAGCTTCATCTTATTTACCATACTCAATGAACATTCACTTTGCAAAGTAAACGATCTCTAATCCTATATTAGATAAACCCAATCCTGTGGTTCCCCGAGATTAAATCTATGATAATATTTTCTCTCAGGAACCTTCCACAGTGCAGTTCACAAGGGATGGATTTTAGGAACTTTTTGGAAGGCATAAAGACCCTTGCTTGTGGGTAGTTTTGGGTAGCAATGTGCAAAGTACTGTTGTTGCATGCAACTTAAAAAATAAGTTCACCGTTTAGAGACTGTTACACATTACACCCACATTTAGGGCGTAACTTGCTCCAGCACATGCTCCCCCACCCAAATCTCCCCCATGTGGAAGCAGGCGAGGGTTCCTCTCCCCACACCCACTGTCAAATTTCAAAATCAGCACAGCTGTGCTGGGCTCCACTGCACACATTGCTGACCTGTAAATGGATAGACTGTTTGCAGTTCTCAATGACCTGCGATGATGCCGATGAGCAGCCTTGTAGTTCATTCACAAGCCTTGCAGCTTTCAAATGGACAGAAATCTGAAAGACTTGTCTGCAGGAGCCTGACATTGCACCTGTGATTCACTGTCCATAGGTGCAATGCTCTGCAGGCTCCTGGGGGAAAAACAAATAAATGAACATATTTTTTTTTCTGCACAAATATGTGCAATTATTTATTTTTTCCCCAAATATGAACTTGACCTTTAAAGAATATATGTCAAGGCAAGAAATAAAATAAGACAAAAGCAAATGCAGTACACGTCTCTGTAATGCATGCACATTTTCCCTATGCTTTATCTTGCAAGCATAGAAAATACCTTTTGATTTGCCAGAAAAGCACTCCGCTCTTAAATCCTGATGTGAGCCGACAACACAGCATTTTTGCGGACTGAGAGGTGTCATCCCTACCCAGTTGCCTTTTGCTAATCTACTCAACTACTCCTGTTCTCAGATTTCCACAACATAAAGGCTAATCATTCTGTAGTCCATTTATAAAAGGAGGGCTATTTGAGATTACATAGGCAGTGCACACAGGACAGCTCTGAATTTCTGACAATATATTTTGTTCTCTGCATTTATCCTACAGATGTATTTAACAGACAAAAAGAGAGCAAATAAGACCATTTCAGTGTAAGGCTTTACATGCACTTTTAACAAAACCCTGTCACCACCCATTCATATTACTATGCCATGCACAGTTAACATGCCAGTCCGGGGATAGACGCCAGGAAATGGGGTGAGCACACCGCTGGATCGTGGGATAGGTGTGTGTCTGTTAAATTAAAAGTCAGCAACTACAATTCACACTTAAAGTGACATTAAAAGGCAATTTAAAAAGAAAACAACAAACATGTTATACTTACCTGCTCTGTGCAGTGGTTTTGCACAAAGCAGCCCAATTATCTTCTCAGGTCCCCTACTGATGCTCCTGAACCCCCCCAAACCCAGTTCCCCCAGAGCAAGTAGCTTGCTATAGACACCCCCAAGCAGGCTCGCATCCAAGTGCTTCTCTGCATGTCCAATCACACACAGAGCCTCGTCTTGGCCTCACCCTCCCCCTTCTCTCTTCATTGGCTCACTGGCTGTGATTGACAGCAGCAGGAGCCATTGGTTCCTGCTGCTGTCTCATCTAATGAAAGAGTCCTTGGAGAGCTGAAGCTCTTGTGCACTTCCCTGGATCGCAATGGAGCTCAGATAGAATACATGAAGATAAAAACCTTAAGCATTTACGACCACTTAAAGTACACCCCATAACTGCATATCAGCTAGAGAGCTAAAATGGATGTTATTGTCTTATTCTTTAATGCTTGCAAATATGGCAGCTTCTACCACAGAGCATATTATAATCCCGCAGGTATAGAATGTGCACAGTGTACTCCCTTCAGCTTTTCTATCCATTTAAGGAAATTTAAAAAGTACATAATGTATATTTGTATCAGAATTGAAAGTTCATGCTTTTCCCACTATATGTCAGCATTTCAAGGAGAGTCGGCTAAATTCCCAGGAAAGCCAGATAATCATATGGAATAGTCTGCAGCATTCATGTCAGGAAGAAGGGGGAAATGTTCAGGGTTTAGGAATTTTTCCGAGTCAACAGCATGTCAATGTAAAGAGTAATATTGTGCTCACCAAGTCATCACAGGGAATGCTATAGCTAAAGTACCTTATTTATCTTGAGTTTCTGTTGAGCTTCTGTCACCATTTCTTGACTGAACCCTTCAAGAAGTTTTTCAGTAGAAAAACATGGCAGATTCTGGCAAAGCTTTGCAAGAACAAAGTCTCGGAGCCTGACAAAGTTTTCTGATGGATCTTCAGCTGGACAAAAGAAAAAAAAAATAAAACTTTCAAATATCTTTTTTTTCTTCCAAAATCGTATTATTCCTGTGTCTTACATTCTGTCAACAAATAGCTACACAAATAAGGAAAAGGCTTGAATGTAGCAATCATTATTGGTACAGCCAAAAAAACAATCCTCTGGGTGATCAATGTAATTTGCATGGATTTTAGAGTGTAAGTTAAAGCAATTTTTTTTAGTTTTGGATAAAGTGGAGGGATTAGAACACGTCACCTTTAGAATTAACCCTTTGTGAGTAAATCACCAAAAATAAAATTTTTATTGCAGAGGATGCTTAAAGTGGAAGTCTTTTTTTTTAACTTGTACCTACAGGTAAGCTTATAATAAAGCACCTCCAGCACTGAATGTATTTAACAGAAAGGGAGGGTTGGATGGATGGATGTGCTGGAGGGTCTATTGTTGTTGGCTACTGGGGGTTCTATTGTCATAGGGAGGGATCTATTGTTGCTGGTGGGGGATATGTTGTTTCTGTGGGGTCTTATACTGTTGAGAGGGCTCTATTGTTGGTGGCTGCTGGAGAGTCTATTGATGCCTGCTTCTGGAGGTTCTATTGTTGCTGATGGGGTTTATTGTTGCTGGTGTACATCTATCATTACGGGGGGTTATTTTGTTGTAGGAGAGCTATTTTTGCTGGGGCAATCTATTGTTACTGGCTGCAGGGGATTTTACTGCTTTTCCTATCATATATAATAAATTCCATACAAATTATGCACCACAAAATGAATGGTTCTGTATTCTCTAAAAGGTGCAGTACTGGGAGGTGGGTAGGGGGTGGAACCGAGGGATGGTGCTCAGAGTTGGGTAGGGGTGCTGGGACAAGGGGTGACTCGAAAGGGAGGAGTACCTATTCTCTGAGGGGAAAAAAGCTCTGCCTGTAGGTACAGTGAATATCTCCTAAACTTTCACTGTTTGGGAGATATTCACAGTGCATGCAATTGGTGACATCACCAGCTCATGCGCTCTGAAGGAATGCATACCTGTACTGTTTCTTCAAAACTCCATGCAGCAGGAGTGACTTCAACGTGGCACAGCCAGTTAGAACCAGTAAAACCGGGTGAAGATAGATGCCCTGTCAGTGGTGAAAGTGCGCTGCTGGAGGGCTTCATTCTAAGGTGAATACTTCATAATCTGCTAGTATGCAATGTATACTAGAACATTATGCCATTGTCTTGCAGGTTTTTGTGGGGGGATTTACTACCGCTTTTTTTTTTTTGGAGGATGTGGTTTACTACCACTTTAAAATCTTGTATCTTAGTGCAGACTTTTGGTAAAAATCAGTGAGCCAATCACACATGCAGGAAATGACATTTCTGGGGAAGTTTTGTATACCGTGTACAGAAGGCCTCCAGGTTGCAGTATAGCACTAAATTTTACAGAAAGTGACAGTGCTACAGACTTAAAAGGAAAGGTAATTTTAGTAACATTCAATTACAATATCGTGTATGCAAAATGGTTTGCCATTTTTTTCCATGAAGTGGAATTACACCAAGTTTATTCTGTCTGTGTGTGTAAAACATAACACACACACACACACACACACACACACACACACACACTTTATCTCATATTTATATACATGTACACAGTACTACTATTCTAGGCACTTCTGACAAGTGAGAATGCTTTCAATAATAATAAAATAACTGTTTTAACCAACTGACCTCCAGCAGGTTTCACCCACTTCATGACCAAGTAATTTTTTGTTATTCAAGGGGTTAACTGTGTGCCTAACAATGTATAATGTATGTAATATGTGCGGCTTTTACTTTAATATATGGCTGTTTTTTCTCCCTGCCCAATGTGCCAAATACAAATGAGACAAGCGAGAGAACAAATGTTGTTTTAAAAGGCAAAAGGTAAACACACCAAACTGATTTGATTACGTTTTTTAAGCTTTGATCATTAAATAAATATAATATATATTATTAAAATGGGTGAATAGAATGATGGGTAAATGAAGACAAAGTGAATGCTAGAGGACGGACATTAAGAGCGAAGAGAATTGGCCCTGTGTAAGCTCTGACTGGAGATCTGACCTGGATTGGCACTAGGCCTTCTTTCTTCACTCCCTGTAGCTGAATATAGTGATAAAGAATATATATTTGTTGGAGGGGAGGAGGGACATTAAAGTAAACCTACTGCTTTGTCCTGCACTGGTAAAAGCACACGTTTGGATAACTTTGGGTGGAACCTGAACCTGGTTAACCTACCAGTACAGTTTGGGTTGTAAAAGAAAACTAGCAAAAGGAGGAACTCAAAGAAAACAAAATCACATGTAGGCAATGGCCCTTCTAGGAAATTAACTCAGAACCTCAGCTCATCTAAAAAAAAACAGTGTTATCCAAGATGATATGCACGCCTGGACACACATGGCATCCCTAGGGACATTATCCTGTGTAGCACCTTTCAGTTCTACACCATTAAGCACATAACTGCCATTAAATAATATACAGAGCAACGATTTCAATGTCCTATCCCAAGCAATCTTGACAGTCACTACCTTCATACAACTGCTGAGGTCAAGTTGCAGCAACAAAAAATCAACATACACTGCAGCGTTAAAACTCATGTTCAGGCTGACTGGTTCCATGCTACTAGACTCAAAAATCATGCGCAGTAAATACATTTTGAATCTCCTGCCAGTCATCACAGTTACATTGTAGTGGACTGCAACACAAGAAGTGGTAAGCCCATATATAGATATATATATATATATATATATATATATATATATATATATATCAAATCAATCAATCAATCATACTTGTCAGCCATAGAAGGGCAGCTAAAAAATGTATGTACAGATTTAATGCTGCACAGCATTCAACATATAACTTACTGATCGATCTGCTGATCTTTTTTACATTTTCTTCTTGCAATAAATTGCACCTTTCATTGTCTAATTTATATCTTATGCTTTCCCTTTCCCCTTGTCGTGCGGTTTTACCTTTCTCTGTCCTTTCAAGTCCCCATGGCGGCTCGCATATATAGCCCTAGCGATGTAGGGATGTACTGCACAAAAAAGTGAGATCTGTAACATTTTGCACTCAGTGGGATTTCATGTGTTTTTGCAGGAGAGACTTCTGTCTAGCCACCATGCCATAAAGCCCAGATCTGGGGAGGGCTGCAGTGATGGTTGTCCTTCTAAAACTTGTCCCATCTCCACACAGGATCTCTGGAGTTCAGTCAGAGTGACCATCGGGTTCTTAGTCACCTCTCTTACTAAAGCCCTTCTCCCCCAATTGCTCAGTTTGGTCCGGCGACCAGCTTTAAGGAGAGTCCTGGTTGTGCTAAACTTCATCCATTTGAGAATTATGGAGGCCACTGTACTCTTGGGAACCTTCGGTGCAGCAGAAAATTTATAGAGAGGTGTGTGCCTTTCCAGATCATGTCCAATCAATTTAATTCACCACAGGTGAACTTCAATCATGATCAAGAAATATGGGAGGAACCTTAGCTAAATATCAAGTGTAGTTGCCAAGGGTCTGAATACTTAGGCCAATGTAATATTTCAGTTTTTTCTTTTCCATAAATTTGCAAACATTTCTACAGTTTGTCATTATGGGGTACTGAATGTAGATTAAGTAGAAACAAAATGAATGTATACAAACTATAGTATCAGGCTGCAACATAACAAAACTGAAAAAAAGTGAAGGGGGTCTGAATACTTTTATGAATGCCCTATATTAAAACACACACAAACACTGTGCCTTGTTATTCTATTTTAAACTAAATGGCTTGTAAGTGTTCATATATATTTTAATAGTGACAGATTGCCATGCACAGTGCATCTCACAGCAGCTTTTAGACCTGCCCACAAAACCGGAGAAAAAACTAAACATTTATAATCCTATAAAAATTAAAATGGCCACAGCCTGTAATAATTCTTAAAAAAAGGGAAAAAAAATGACCTAATAGAAATGTGCATGAGAAAACAATCTTTAGAAAGGAAAAGTGGAGTTTCACTTTAATAAGATAAAAAGCAAAATTAAACACTTGCAGATTTCCCTTTCATATGTTAATTATACTTTGCCAACTCTGCCTTGTTTAATGAAAAGATCAATACAAATAGACAAACGGTCATTTTGAGGTGGATGGGTAGACAGAGAAATTTACACATTATATTATTTTGCTGAGTAAAGGGCTTTCTAATCTCAAGAATCGACACAGCTGCCTGGGAAAAGCAGTCTGGCTACCATTATCCATAGTCATTAGCCACTCCATTGTACTGTAAGCACATAAATACCCAGCATTTCAAAGAGAAGGAAACAAAAAGATTTAATTGTTCAGAAAAGCTTGTACCCTTTTACTGCCAAATCTCTCAGCCAATTCTGGCATCCTTAACCCCATGGAACATCAACAGGTCAATGAGAATGTCAGACCTTTAAATCCTTTAAATATTTACAATCAAAAAAAAAAAAAAAATCTTCCACACAGGTATCTACATGTATAGAAAGGAATTGGGTTTTTACCAAGCAATCACTTTTTTAAAATATGAAGGCAAGAAAAAACCCAAACACAGACTAGGGAACTCATTGAGAGACACAAAGTCCTTCACATTCAGGATGTACTGCAACCAACAGAAGGTTTGGACAATGGCAAAGAAAAGTGCTGTAGACTAGCCCAGGATGACCCTCTCATTGACAACCTTCCTCAGTTTTGTAGTAAAGTTTTACAGAGAACATGATCATAAACACAAGTATATGACAAGTGTCTACCGCAACGGACTCCAAGAAATGAATTTTACAGTGAGTACTAAAATCTTATTGGATATCCAAAAGCAGTCCAACTGATTGGTGGGAAACATGGCTAACAAATGCTAACAGGCCGAAGAAAACAGAGAATTGGGGGGCTGCTTGCAGCTTAAAGAATGCCTGAAGAACCTTACTCCAAAAAGGCTGGCATCAAATGAGGCCACAATGGCCACCTGGTGAAACTTTGAGAAGGTGTTAACAGGAGACCAGGTAACAGCCTTACAATCTAAGAAAACAGTTGCTTAATGCCACAAAACTCAAGAAGCTCTTACAGATATTAGTGTTGACCCCATCTAAACTTGGATGATAATGGTACATGCAATGATCATCAAAACAATGAACAGAAATTCAACGCTCACACAATATGAAATAGGATGGTGACAGTAGGCATAATTAAAGGAAAAATTAGGACTGACTGTACACAAGGTGTGATGACAGAGTGTCACAGAGTCAGTAGGTCCATGGGATGATCCAATGGAGGAGGATGTAGACCAAGGAACCAGGGCACATGGATTGAAGCTGGCAAATCCTCGTCATGGATGGTGAGGATCCTATGTAGCGGATGTGGTAACAGTTTGAAAGCAGTCAATGCATCCTGAGGATGAACAAAATGAAGAGGGGATGGACCAGAGAGGCAAAGCACCTAGGATGGAACCGGCAGCTCCTCATCAAGGATATGGGGATCACTCATCAAGCTAAACTTGGATGATAGTGTGAGTCACTTAGAGGTGGTGGAACAAGAAGCAGAAGGGAATCTTCTTTCTAATAAAAGCTGGCAGATTCTCACAGCACAACCCACATCCAGACAACATAAATGTCCTTTTTGAGGATATGGAACCAGAGAGAGAGATGGAAGAACAATGTATTGGTTGAGTTAAAAGGCAGAAACTACCTTGGGCAAGAAGGAAGTCCTAAGTCTTAATACCACCAAAAAAAGAAAAAAAAAACCCCCAAAAACACAAAAGGTTCTTTGCAGGACAGGACTGACAGCTCAGAACCTTGCCTCACAAAAAGGTGATGGGTATAAGGAATACCACTGAAGAGAGTGGAATGCCTCTAATCAGTTTACACAATGGTTTCTTAAGTGCAGACAGAATCAGACTAAGATCCTATGAATTCATAGGGGAACAAACAGGAACTACACTGGGGACTCCCAGGTCTACAAAGGTCTTAATCTAGGAATGAGAGGCCACTGGCAGATGAAGCAATACAGAAATGCAAAAAATTGACGTATGACAGCGTTGAGAGCCAAAGGCTGGTTCAGAGCCAGCTATAGAAAGAGGAAGATTCGTCCTACTGAGAAATTCCTAGGCTGAAAGGTGAAAGACTCATACCAAGTCATGTATATCTTCCACGTCAGATTACCTTGTGGGAAGTAGATTACCTAGCTTTTAACATCGTAGGAATCACAAATTCAGAGATGCCCATTTCTCTCAGAACATATTAAAGCCAGGACCTGCAAAACAGGTCGATCAGTACTTGAGACAGAACATTTAGACAATCTGATAGAATCCTTGGAGGGTGCGCCAGGAGATTTACCACGTTGGCATACCACATTTGCCTAATCAGTCCAGAGCAATGAGGATCACTAGAATTACCTCTATCTCGATTGTGAAAAGCAGATAAGAAAGATGATTCAGCAGGGGAAAGGTGTGCTGATCCCAGAGCTACCACAGCATCCATTGCTTCCGATAGAGGATCCTTGTGCCTGGAGACAAACCTGACCAAGTTTGTTGTTGATCTTGGAGGCTAGGAGGTCCACATGTGGAGTCCCCCATTTGTGATACAGATCCTGGAACACCTCTGGCTGTAGAGAGCACTCCACCAGGTTCAGATATTGCCAGCTGAGGAAGTAAGCCTGTCAGCAGTCCATGTTTGAGATTTACACAGCAGACAAAACTTGAACCTGAAATTCTCCCCAGGATGGGATTGACTTCTTTTGCCACAGTGAGACTTCTGGTTCCTACTTAATGGTTTATGTATACCACAGCCATGGCTTTGTCTGGCTGAATCTGGATCCTCCAGCAGGATGGTACAACACTGCAAAGAAAGTCAAATCTGCCCACCCCCTCCAGAATAAAGATCAGGTGGAGAGATTCCTCTGACTAGTCCCATTCACCAATAAGATGGCCAGGACTCCTCCCAGCCCTATAGGAGGACATCTGTCATGAGAGGGCAAAAAGGAGAAGGAGCAGACAGACAGATAAGGGATCAGGCTGCAGGGTCAGGACCAGGATCAGAATAAGAATGCAGGAAGACAGGTCAGGGGCACATGGACAAACAACAAGGCAAAGAGGAGAAGCACAGACAAGGCTTAAATACACTTCCTGTAACAAGCAGCAGGTGATGCCCGATTACCATCAGCTTCGGACTGCTGACAGACACCTGCTGGTGGATACCGGAACTGCAGTTATAGGTCTGGGAGCCACAGTGCCACCAGCAGGTGAATCCCTTCCTGACAGCCAGGGACAAACTGGTTCTTAGTTTCTAATGAATCATTCTGTCCAGAGAGCAGATTAGTCCCACGATGACAGGATGTTGCATTGTTAGAGGTCTGAAGTGTAACTGAGCAAATGGGACAGTCTCTGAGGAAGCTACTGTCAGATAGCCATCAGATAGACCCAATATTCTCAAGTATAAGCAGAGCGTTAGATAATTTCCTGGAATGGAGAGCCTGAATATGAGATCCCATAGTCTGACCATTCTCCTGTGGGATAAAGTCCCTGGCCTGAGCTGTGTCCAGGACTAGACCCTGATAATTCTAAAAATTCAGGATCCATCCGGACATCTGGTCAGTCAAACTCATTGTCTGACAAAACTTGTGCTGAACTGGTCCGTTGAAGTAGGTCATCTAGGTATCCCACAATGGGGATACAACAAGAGCACAGTAGGGCTAATAATGAAGCCAGCACATTGATGAACACAAGTTGCAGATAGGATGAAGGGCTCGGACCACAAACTAGTACATGGGCCCTACATCAAATGAAGGAAACATTCATAAGCTGGGAAGATGGGGACCATGCAGGTATGTGTCCTTGATGTCCACAAAAGCAAGAAAGACAACAATATACCTGGTGGATTCCATGTGCAATTTCTGAGCTTGAATGAAGATATTGTGCAGACATTGGCACCATCAGTAGGCCTGTTACAGCCCTTTGAGTTTGAGCTGGAAGCACCCAGTACAGTGGGAATGTTCCTCTTGTGTCTGGAATCAGACAAGTTGTGGCCATATAGTGGTAAGGCAACGTAACGCTCAGGGTAAAAGGCAAAACCTTAGGTACTCACAAAGCCTAAGCACCTAGTAGCAGTTGAGGGCAGACTAGTCAGAGGTGACCAAAGTCACTGTAAGTGGAAACTGACTGAGGACTGGAGTTCCACATGGCTCTTTGCAAGCATGAGCAGAAGTGGGAAAATGCTCCCTCAATGCTGTATGGCAGGAAAGAGCGCATGGAGTGCACACAATGTTCCACCCAGAAGATTGCATCAGCATTGAGTCCCAAAGCATTAACCCTTTCTGTGGTGGAAAAGTGTGAAAATGGAGAAAAGTAGGGAATTTAAAGGCACCCAGAAAACCAATGTAGATGAAGTAGCTCCGCAAGATCAGCTCGACCAGCTTATTCATGAAGTGAGTTTTTAGAGACAGGGCAAATGTCTAGATAATGCTGGTGGCTCTGTATCTGGAAAGTACTCCCTTTTTCCAGAACAGAGTCTGGAAAGCGCTTTAGGCAGAATGCAGTGCCGAAGGTCAATTCTAGGCTATCCCTGTAATGTTCATTCATGCAAGGTCTGGATGCGGCACTCTAAAAGCCAGGCTGAAGACAGCCATGACAGATACAGTAGCTGTAATGAAAGAAACCAGCTCTAGCAGCAGTTTAGAGAAGAGTTGGGGGAGAGGAAACAGGAATTCAACACTACTCCAGGACAGGGAGAGGATAATGTGCTTTCTTATTAGCTTACTCTACTTATGGGTCACGGAGCTGGAACCAGCATGTATATTAGGAGTTACTGCTACATGCTTGTTCTTGCGCAGTGATTCAGAGAACAAAGGTTGAAGACAGCCAGGTAACATGAATATTTAAGTGAAGGTCAGACATGCCCAGCTGTTACCAATCCCGATGCTTGCCCACACTAATAGCAGGGTGAAGATCAAGCTCGTGGCTGGAACAAATAATATAAGGAAGGATGGTTGATGCCACAACTAGCATGTGCTGGATAAATCCTTTTATTTCACTTGCGTACACTGAGAGCTGCAAGCTGCTTACGCATTTCAAGCTTACTCATATTGCTGTTTGTGGCAATACCCATCTTTCCATGGATTATGTGGAGGTCAGAAAAATCAGACCCATTTCCCTTAGTACACTTTTCCTTTAACCACTAGCCTACAGGGCACTTATACCCCCTTTCTGCCCAGGCCAATTTCCAGCTTTCAGTGCTGTCGCGCTTTGAATGACAATTGCGCGGTCATGCAACACTGTACCCATATGACATTTTTATCATTTTTTTTTAGACAGATAGAGCTTTCTTTTTGTGGTAATCACCTCTGGGATTTTATTTTTTCTTAAACAAACCAAAAACCACTGAAAATTTTGAAAAAACAAAACGTTTTTTCTTAGTTTTCGTTATACAATTTTGTAAATAGGTGATTTTTTTCCTTCACTGATGTGCGCTAATGAGGCTGCAGTGATGGGCACTGATAGGCTGCACTGATGGACAATGATAGGTGGCACTGATGAGGAGGCACTGGTAGGTTGCACTTATGGGCATTGACAGGCATAACTGATGGGCATTGACAGGCATCACTGATGGGCACTGAAAGGCAGCACTGATACATGACACTGATAAATGGCACTGATAGGCAGCACTGACTGGCACTGATAGGCAGCACTGACTGGCACTGATAGGCAGCACTGGCTGGCACTGATAGGCAGCACTGATAGGCAGCACTGATAGGCATTGATAGGTGGCACTGACTGGCACTGATGGGTGACCTTGAAAGGCAGCTCAGATGGGCACTGATATGTGGCATTGATGTGCACTGGTATGCACTATGTGGCATTGATGGGCACTGGCATGTGGCACTGATGAACACTGACTGCTGGCACTGATGGACACTGACAGGTGGCACTTCTGGGGCCACAGTGATCATCAGTGCTCTGATGATCAGTGTACATGTCCCCTCCGCAGAAAGCAGATTACCGGCTCTGCTCTCTTCTCGAGCTGTCAGCGTGACAGCTCGAGAGGAGAGAAATGCCGATAACCGGCATTTCCGTGTTTACATGTGATCAGCTGTGATTGGACACAGCTGATCACATGACCGAGCCGACCTCTTCGGCTCTTTCCGTGAACCGCTGTATCCGAGGGACACAGCGCACCGGCGATCGCCACGCTGCACGCTCCCTGAGTTGCGCATGCGCGGTGAGAATGGAAGGACGTCATATGACGTCCTATCAGAACGAGAGAACCACCTTGCGCCCGTCATTGTACTATAGGGCGGGCGGAAGGCGGTTAATAAGCCAGCAACATAATACACAAATGCACAAACACAAACAAACAAAAACAAAATCCTACCCAGTTGCTCACAACATACAAGGCAATATGCCATCATAGCAAAATTCTTAGGATGTAAGATCTAAAACATCTGGTGAACACATTTAACCCAAGACTATGAAAAAAATATCACATCGAACATATCCGGTGCAGGACATACTGTTGACATGCCTAACATTCTTTTAGAACACATACTTGCATTTCCCTGTCAACCAAATGATCAGAACATTACACACCCCATACAAATTTCACACAGAAGTTTATTTATCACTTTTGTCAAGTCTATTATAATCTGTTTTGCCTTGGCATAATTGCCAATGCACATACAAGTATGTACGTATCTAGCTCTGTTGCACCTATACCAAGTACTTATTAATCTGCCAGTGAGTGATTGTGAGCATGGGTATGGTTTAATTATACATATATATTATACATATATAAAAATCTAAATCATATTTATTTGTTCTAATATCTGAATTGGATTTCCCAAGCCATGCAAAGTAACTCAGAATTACCAGAAACGCCAAAAAGAATTTTCAGTATTACAAAAAAAAAAAAACAAAAAAAAAAAAAACAACAATTTCTTGCTCAATCCATATATAAAACTACAGAGGTCTGTAGCCTTCCACTTTCAATGCATCCCCTTTGGGCAGAGAAATATATAATAAATACTTAAGTAGCACTTAAAATGTGCATAAAAATAGCTCATGCATGTTAATCATTTCAAAAATTCTACCTCTTCAACAAAGCCCAGGCAGGTCTTGTGAGTGCTCTTTCCCTCCCTACATTTACATCTGACGGTCCAAGATGCAGGAAGTGTGGGTACTGCCCACTCTGAAAAGTATAGGGGGGCATACAGCCACAAAGAGACATTCAGAAGGATCTCTTCACAAAAGGGAGGGATTTGTGCAGCCTGCACTGATTATACAGGGGACATGCAGGTGTTTGAAAAACTAACATTTTCCACACATTTACCTCTCTAGAAGAAAAAAAAAAATACTGATACATACAGTATTCTGTACACACTTAACCTCTATCCTTTATAGTTTTACAAAAAATTATAAATAAAAGTGAAAATGCTACAGATTTAGATTACTGTATATACTGGGATTAGTAGCACTCAAAAAACATACACAACATGTATAGTATGTTTACATAAACAGAATAAAGTAGATCTTAAGCAAGAACTCTTGAAAGCAGTATTACTTATGAAATGCCCACATAACTCAGAATTTTAGAAAATAAAAAAATCCCTGTGAAAAACACTTCTAATGTTGCCATGGCTCAGACATTCTCTGTGTCTATGATATTAATGAATGAGAAGGAACAGACATTATTCAGGCTGCCAGACACTGGGTTACATGTCAGTTGCTCTTCTATTACAAAGTCATGGAGAAACTTTTCTGTTATAAAAAATTATTTCAGCAAATCTGTAAAGCAAACCTCTCCTCTATTAACCTCCCTGGCGGTCTGATTATGTTAATATTTTAAAATGTCAAAGCGGTACATTGTTTTGCATGGAAATTTGTTTTATATTGTAGGCCTGTAATTCTTAGGAATAACTCACTTAAATCTGTCCGAACAAGAGTCTAGTAAACATCCCGGGTATAATAAAGTTTGAAACACGAAATCATAAATTATAATATAATAAATTATAAAAAATAATATAATATTAAATTTAATTCAATAATGTAATCAAACCAAAAAACACTGAAATTTGAAATAGAGCTCCAAGTTCGCACATCACTGAGCTCAGTCACAGAATCGTCGCTGTCGTCACTTTCAGTGTCTGATGACGAATTTCCCCACGGATCACTATAGCTCCATTCTGCAAGTGATTCTAATTTACTATCGCTGTTTTGCAGCTGGTCTAAAACCACTTTTGACCTAAACGGGATGCTTTTTGGATGCCATGGACATTCTCAAGTTTCCAGGCAGAACAGTAAAAGTGCAGGCAGGGCACTGGACAAAACAATAGGGACAAAACTTAGATGAAATGGCTTGAAACAGTAATGTAATCCTAACAGATTACAGTGTGTATGTCATGTTTTTACTTTGTTGAACCAATGCGACGCTTGCAGGGAAGGGAACCCGGGAGACGGATGCCAGCATCGGCTGGAGGACACAGCGGGAGGACATTGGGGAATCGCAGGACAAGGTAAATTACACTACAGTATAATCCCGAGTGTAGCTTTTGGTACTGAAAATTAACCCCGAGTCACACTCAGGATTACTGCTAGGAAGGTTAAATTAAAAACCTTTCCTGAGAGAAATGTGGAGGCATGTTAACAGCGCCAAGACATAAGACATGTTACACAGATCCAATGGCTTCAATACTTTCTAAATCACTAACCTGGTGCAAGCATGCAGATCAGTCAGTCAAAACTCCTTATCAGCAACTTGTTCTGGGTAATACCATTTAAAAATGACAAGTCAACACTAGAAAAGCTACAATTTCTGGGGAAATTGTGTGAAGTGTTCTTGCCTCCACCAGTAGTCTAGGGCTTGAAAATGAGGGAGTGATGGCAGTTTAGAAATCATGTACTGATTTTTCAGCTCACACTCTAGCTTTTGTCACTCTGCTGCCTGCTCACACACCTGGGTTCCTATGGCAACTCACTCTACAGCAAGGGCAGAGAAGAGCGGTTAAAAACAAACTGCTCCAACTTGCTCACTTCACTGGCGGTTGCCATCTTCAAACGGTTGTAGTTTAAAAACTAGAAAAGCTACAATTTCTGGGGAAATTGTGTGAAGTGTTCTTGCCTCCACCAGTAGTCTACAACTGGAGTGGGTGGAGTGGCTTGAGTAACTGTTGTGTGGTTGGAGTGGCTGGAGTAACTGTGAAAAGGTTGGACTGGGCAGAGTAACTAGTTTTGAACATTCCGCCATTCATTCCTATGGGACCAATTTCACCACAAAAACGCCGATATTTCGTGAACCATTCGGCAAAACGTTCCACAAAGTAATAGCACACCAATCGGGAACAATCCGCACGTTTCGGTATATTACTGTCTATGTAGTGTAAAAACTGTGGGAGGAGTTAGGGTGGTAAATTTTGCTATAATAAGAATATATATGTGAGATAGCAGTAAGTGGTCTTGAACACTTAATTATAAATCCTACACCGAAGAGCTTTATATTGTGAGAATTACAAGACCCAGACCTACATTTTGATGTGTAGTATGTCTCTGAAATATTAAAAATGAAGGCACAGTCGCAGTTTAGAAATTACCCTTCAAATTTGAGGTGGCTAGAGTGGAGTTTCAATGAATGTCAAGGGGGGGCGTGAGTTGTAAACAAATGGTCATATTGTGAAAACTATCAGGACTATGGCTTAGTCGTGGACATTTTTAGTGGCAGCAGGGTTAGCTGAATGTTTTGATATAAGATTTGTGTAGGTGGGCTTGAAAATGAGGGAGTGATGGCAGTTTAGAAATCACGTCCTGATTTTTCAGCTCCCACTCTAGTTTTGAACATTCCGCCATTCATTCCTATGGGACCAATTTCACCACAAAAACGCCGATATTTCGTGAACCATTCGCAAAACGTTCCACAAAGTAATAGCACACCAATCAGGAACAATCCACACATTTCGGTCTATGTAGTGGAAAAACTGTGGGAGGAGTTAGGGTGGTAAATTTGGCTATAATAATAGGAATATATATGTGAGATAACAGTAAGTGGTCTTGCCATGCAAGAACACTTAAATAGCGGCCTCCATGTTTCTCCCAAAAAAATGTTCCCTTTAAAGGCAAACTGTACGGAAAGAAATACATAGGCTGCAATAATAGACCTCTATGTGAAAATCATTCTCCCTGCCATCCAAGGCTTTGGTAATCTAAGTCACCCAGCATGTAGCGCATGACATCAGGATGTAATCAGAAATCTACATACGCTTCCAGCTCAGTTATCCAAAAGTTATTTGTTTACAATTAGCATTTTTGAAAGGAGAGGTCAAAAATATCAACCTGAACACTTTTCTTCATACACATTATTGTTACATATGTAAATGTAAGCGTTATAGGGCTTAGGAGTTTCTCCTAAATCCTCAAAATTATTTTATTGCAATTTGGGAGCCCCCAGTCTCGAGACACCTCACCCATTTAGCCTAGGACTACATGAGAAATTAAAGAACTGCAGCCAAAGATTCTTCATCTAAAAAAATATACCATTATGCAGTTTAAACAGACATAAGCCAATTTAGCAATTCGTGGTGCAGTAATGCTCACATTTTTCAGCTGAAAGACCTTTTTTTATACCCCACACTGTTTATTTTGGGCAACTGAAGCCTGGTTGCACTATTCCAGGAAACACATTGTAGCTCCACTTGGCCAGCCCATTGAAATCTCACACATGCACTGCAAAATGGCTCCCAGCCGCACATGCGAAGGAAAAGAGCTCCCAGTCACGCATGCGCAGTAAACACCATGCACGAGCCCCACACATCTCCTCCTATGTCTGCCCTGGTCCAGCCCCCCATGGCTCTCCTTTGCCTTCCCACATCCCTCTTTCACTCTCCCCGCCCCCCCCTTCCTCGAGCAGCAAACTCTCACGTGAGTATGGGAAAAAAAGTGGCGACTCCTGGGATACGTGACAATTCTATGCCGGGTGTCAGCACGAATGCAGACCACGTCACTAGCCTAGACGAATGACAAGCTGACAAGTCAGAAGCAAATAATATAAGGTATTATACCAGCACAAAATTAACTTTTTGATTTCCAATGATGGCACATCAGCGGCAAAAAAAAC